AATCATTCCTTTGGCCCTGTTATTAGCCATCAATCTTCGTCAGGCTCTTTCATTGTAACGAAAGGATGTTACTCCTCTCCTCTGCTTTAAAGAGTGTGAAATTATATGGCTCCATTCTTATCTTTTTTTAAAAAATTTATTTTGATTTTTTTACAGTGAGGAAGAGAGAGGGATAGAGAGTTAGAAACATCGATGAGAGACAATCATCGATCAGCTGCCTCTTGCACACCCCCCACTGGGGATGTGCTCTCAACCAAGGTACATGCCCCTGACTGGAATTGGACCTGGGACCCTTCAGTCCACAGGCCGACGCTCTATCCACTGAGCCAAACTGGTTTCGGCTATAGCTCCATTCTTGAGCACAAACGGAAGATACACCCCCAGGAAGTTTAATGTAGATCTTCTTGGCCAGTATCTCACCTCCTTACTAAAAAGCACTTGGTTGAAACAGACACATAGATACTGAGAGGGGACTGGTGGTTGCCAGAGGGGAGAGAGATGAAGGTGAGGAAACAGAGAAAGAATAAGTACAGATTGGTAGCTACAAAATAGTCACAGGGATTTAAAGTACAGCATAGGGGACATGGTCTGTAATATTGCACTAACTACAGTGGCAACTGGGTACTGGAAATATTTAAAGGGGGAACACTTTATATGTTATAAAGTGTATGATTTATGTTATAAAGTTATAACATTTATATGTTATAAAGTGTAAAGTATATAACATATATACTTTATATGTTAAAGTATATGATTATCTGATCACTATGCTGTACACCTGAAACCAATACTAAATAATATTGAAAGTAAACTAATTGAAGAATAAAAATAAAAATGATTTTTAAAAAAAAGCTCTTTGTGGTAGAGTGTCGGTCTGCGGACCGGGTTCGATTCCGGTCAAGGGCATGTACATTGGTTGCGGGCACACCCCCGGTAGGGGGTGTGCAAGAGGCAGCTGGTCGCTGTTTCTCTCTCATCGACATTTCTAGCTCTCTATCCCTCTATTCTCCTCTCTGTAAAAAATCAATAAAATATATTAAAAAAAAAAAAGCTCTTGGTACAGCTTACACAACCACAAATGATACACAATAAAATGAAAATTAAGGTGAAAACAGCAATGAGAGTGAAAAACACGACTCAAAGGAGTGGTTCAGACAGTGTGGTGGGTCCTCCACCCCCAGTGAATACATATAATTCGTCTTTCTTTAAGCTAAAGTCAGTCCCTAACTTAAGGCAGACCTGCAGGAACCTAGCTGTAGTTCTAGATGGAATTTTAGGACGGCATTTTGTCATAGCCTACCCTCAGGAATGGATTTTAAAACTAGGTGCTGGATTTATTCTAGAGATGTTAAGGATGTTGTTGATCATATGTAGAGGAACAAGGAGGAATTTCCCCGTGGGCTCAGTATCAGAATAGTGTCTCTTAAATCACTCATAAATATATTTTTCCTTTGATTTGAAGTAGAGCATGCCTGTTGTAGAACAAAATTTTAATGCAAATTACTGTGGACTAGTACTAATAATCATATGGTGGCCAGTTTAGTGTCCTTGTGATCCAGGTTCTTTCTTAATGGAATCATGCTATTTAATTCTATTTGTGTTTTCAACTACTGCCTCTTGAACATCATGTTTTCATGAAAGGCCCTAAATTCTTTCTGGAACAAAATATGATAGAAATTTTAGATTTGTAATTTGACTACCCTTATAAATTGCTATTCTTTTTTTAAAGCTTATTACATAAGCTACAATGATCAGAATCATTCCAAGTCTATTTACTGACTTCTCATTTAAAATTTCGTTTTTAAGTAATGAATTATTGTTTTTCTACATTCCTTATTTGGAATGTTTTTTTCCCTTCTCAAAATATGCCTTGTCTCAAATCTAAAATCCTCCCTAAAGCCTTCCCTGTTGATTCTGGCTACCCAGAACCTTCGAGTTTCCTGGCTGCTCACCACACAATTTCCCGAGTGATGTATCCCAGCATTTTATTACTTGAGTTGTTTTGTGTATCCCAGAGATTGACAAGCTGTTTTCTGAATTCCCCACAATCGTAAGCATGAAGATGCTATTTTGACTAATAGTTTCCCCAATGCTAACACCTTCATAGGAGACAGGATATTTGTCTTCATTTCTTAAATTTATAGTGCCTTATAGTGACTTAGTAAGGATTTCTTACATTGAAATGCCAAGAGGTAGTCCTACTCACCTTTTCTAGTATACCCTGGAACACAGGCTCTGGCAAACCCTATTATGCTACATTAAAAAAATGCTCACAAGATCAACATGGGAAATGAACTTTGTGGTACCATAATTTCTATCTTAAAGAGGAAGGAAATCTCAGTATTATATTTATGTGTACTTATATAAACAAAATAAAGAGAACTGTGATTACTTAGACTCAAAGTCCAAATAGGCTTTGAAAAACAATCTACACTAATAAAAGAGAAATGTGAAAATTGATCATACCTCCACAATACCCACCAGCTAATCAGGAGTATGCAAATTAACCCGCAAAGATGATGGGTTAATTTGCATACACAGGCTCGGAGCCGCTGGATGGGTGGGACGCCTTCTATGAGGGGGCGAGGGGCAGAGGGAGCTATACCAGCGGTGCTCTGGCCAGAGCCCAAAAGACTTGAAGGCGCCGGCTGGAGCAAAGACCGAAGGCAGTGGCCAGAGTGAAGGCCTGGGTCCCAGGTGCCGGCAGCCGGGAGAAGGAAGGCCTATTGCATGAATCTTCGTGCAACGGGCCTCTAGTATTCTATAACTACATTAATATTCAAAATTTGATAATTATTCCATAATCAAAACAAGGTAGACGATACGCTGTCACATTTATTTATTTATTTATTTATTGTAAAATGCAAATGGAGACATTGGTACTTCATATGAAGGAACTGCTTCATATTTTGTTGCCAAGTTATATTAAAGGACTACATTCGTTACCATCCATGTCCTGCTCTCACATGGATGTTTCCCTTATCCTTCCTCTCTCAAAATCAGCAAAAATATTTTTTTTTAAAAGACAACATACATTATTAAACAATACCAAAAAAAAAAAAAATAGTAATGGTAGAGTCTCCCTTTCAAAACTTTCCCCAACCCTTTATGTCCAAGATAACCACTGAACAATTTGGAATGTATCTCTCCAGACAACATAATGTCTTGCAACTTGATTATATCAGTCCTAGAGGCACGATGCACAAAGTCTGTGCAAGAGTAGGCCTTCCTTCCCTCGGCTGCCGGCACTGGCTTCCCTCTGGCACCTGGGACCCAGGCTTCCCTCCGGCTGCCAGCAGGCACCTGGGACCCAGGTTTCCCTTGCAACCCCAGCTTCATCTGGAAGGGTGTCTGGTCTAATTAGCATATTATGCTTTTATTATTATAGATATCACAGACAGCTTCCCATATTAGCAATAAGGATCTCCCATACCCCTTTTTATGGTCGCGAGATTGAAATTCTTGTGTTATTCCATTAGTGACTGTTGTTAGATCAATTAAGTGCTCTTTCAGGGGAGTCTTTGATTTACTTAGACCGGCGGTCGCCAACCAGTGGTCTGCGGACAACTGGTGGTCCGTGAGGTCTGAAAGGTTGGTGACCACTGACTTAGATCATCTTTCCCGTAAAGATTTATAAAGGATGTGTACACCCTTCCTCTTAATTTTTCAAGGAGTTTGAGTGTAATGTCAGTTGAGATTGACCAACCAAAATCCCCTTTCCCACCAGCACTAGGGTTATATACATTTCTAATCTTTGGCACTGAGATGGTACTGTTTTCAATATAGAGACTAAGGCTATTTAGAAGTTATATTTATAAAATAGCTACACATTTATACTGAAGAACACTTTTGTCTATTATTGCCTAAACATGCAATCTGAAAGAATAAAAGTTAAGAAAGCAGAAATAATCATATTTACTCATATAAGTTTCACTGTATTTATGGTTCTGGTGAAGTTTTATATCTCAGGTGCGGTGATAGAATAAGATAAACTAGCAACTAATAAGCAGAATGCCAGCTTATTGATAATGAAGACAGGAATCATAAAGAGGATTAGAATACTTATGTCTGCTAGTTGGAATATATATCTATGTGCTTTCCTTTGAAGAAATCTGGATAATAAGTTAAAATGTTATCATAAGTTTGCTTAGTTTTTATGGAGTTAGAATAGGGGGTGTAAAATCCTATGTGTGGTTTTTTACCAGGCATCTATGATAATAAAAATGTAATATTAAATCAACCGAACAGCAGAATGACCGTCCAGATGACCCTCCAGATGACCACGCTATGACATGCGCCCCCGCCATCACCCCTCCATCGTCCCGCCGAGGGAGGCCCAGGTCACCAGCCAGCAGGATGATCCATTGCAGATGGGGGCGCTCCATAATTGGCCCAAAGAGGGAGGCCTAGGCCACCCTCTGTGCAGGGATCAATGGCAGAGCCCTGGCCTGGTGGGTGGTGCCTCCCTCTGCTGGGTGATCGATTGCGGAGCAGAAGGAGGCCCAGGCCATCCGGCTGGTGGCACGTGGTGGGTGGGCAGGGCTTCACTCTGCGGGGCAATCGATTGATCACCCTGCAGAGGGAGGCCCAAGCCAGCCTGATTGCGCCCCATGCCTGTTGCCTGCAAATGAGGCAACTGGTGGTGGGGGTTGGGGGGTAGCGCCATACAGATAGCAAGCAGTGGCAGTGGTGGGGGTGGGGCCAGCCCCAGCAGCTGGGGGAAGGAACCGCCTAGGGACCCTACCTGAGGGGTCCTGGATTGTGAGAGAACACAGGCAGGGTGAGGGACAACCCCCCTTCTCCCCCCCATGAATTTCATGCACTGGGCCTCTAATATATGCATAAGAGACAAGAATATTCACTTCCGCTGACCAGAAGAGCCCCTTCCTCCCCCAAAGGATACATTATAATCATTTGATTGCACTTTTCCTAGACTAAGTATACTACCTTCCTTCTGTTAAGTGCCTGCCAAGTGTCTTTATACTCTAATCATAAAGCATAAAACTTTTTATTCTGTTACAATTTCAGACTTACAGAAGTTACAATAGTACAAAGAATTCTCAGATACCCTTCATCAGATTCTCTAAATGTTAACATTTAACATTTTCATTTTATCCTTCTTCCTCCTAGCTTCTCTTTCAATCTGATGGTCCAAAATTCTGAGTATAAATCTGAAACGACAACAATGACAGAACTGAGGACTATAAAAACAGTTCACAAAACAAAACTCTTCTGGTAGATTTTCAATTTTATGTGTTATTTGTTTAAAGTTGAATAAATATATCCAAGCTTCATTTTGTAGGAGAATTTGCCAATGAGTTAATTCACCTTGGCTATTACTGAACACTTAAAATTTTAATAATTTCAACTGTGTTCTCTCCTTCTCCAGTTTCCTATAAGTCCTGCTTCCTGCTGTTGGGTAAAACTGACATTGTATTCTAGACTTGCACAATTGACAAAATTATTTGTCTTAAAGCAAGACACATTTTCTTCTTTAAAATTCTACCATACCAAATGCACTATTATGGGGGAAATAATATTTGTGGATTACAATGACTGTATCCTATTACTAAATTAAATCATGTTTCCAATCTATTGCCTTATATTTGTTTTTTAAAATATATTTTTGATTTCAGAGAGGAAGGGAGGGGGAGTGAGGGAGATAGAAACATCAATGATGAGAATCATTGATCGTTGCTTCCTGCATACCTCCCAGTGGGGATTGAGATACCAGACCAGAATTGAATCTGGGACCCTTCAGTCTGCAGGCCGAACCTCTAGCCACTGAGCCAAACTGGCCAGGGCTCTTTACTTATTGTGAATTACCAAAACAGAGCTACTCCATCTGCAGTATTCAATGCTGCATTAGGAGTTCCCACAAAGTGTGCACTGACTATTGGTTCATGTAACTTTGTAAAAGCTTGAGAGCAGATTGATTTCTTTTGGCTCCTGGGAACTAATAGTAGCCATGGTCTATTCACCTAATTGTTTCTAAACACAAAGTATTATTAGAGTTTACTTCAAGCAACTCTGTATCAGATGGAATATTTTTTGAAAAACAAAAAGGAAAGCCAATATATCCTGCCTTTGGGGATCCTGCAGTGACACGGACCTCTTGTTGTTCTTGCTAGATTGAGGTATCTACAGTAATAAAAGAGAAACATGCAAATTAACCATCACTCCACTATGCCCACCAGCTAATCAGGAGGAATATGCAAATTAGGACAAAATGGCAGGACACCTACTATGAGGGGGGAGGGGTGGCGGGGAAGGGGTCTACAGAAGCAGCACTCTGGCTGCAGCAAAGACGAAGACTGCAGACTCTGGCCAGAGTCTACAGCCAAGAGGAAGATGGCAACTCCAGCCTGAGTCTGCAGGGAAGACAAAGATGGCAGACTCCAGCTGGAGTCTGCAGTGAAGATGGAAGACTCTAGGTGGAGCCTGAAGCAAAGACAAAGAAGGCAGACTGGCCAGAGCGAAGACCTGGGTCCTGGGTGCCAGAGGAAAACTTGCTGGAAGCCAAGGGAAGGAAGGCCTATTACACGTATCTCTTCGTGCAATGGGCCTCTAGTAATTTATAACCACTAAAGTGTACACAACAAGTACATAGCTCAATAAATAGTACTGTGTGTCTCTACCCCTAACCATGACTTGTTCAAGATACAGAACTTTCCTAGCTCCCTCCTAGTCTGTACTTCCACATTAAACCATACCATTCAGCTAAAGCTGCTTAATTTTGAAGCCATGGTTTCCTCTAAGCCTGGCCTTCACTGGATTTATTTCTAGTACGAACTAGGTCTTTTCTTACTAAAAGTGCAGATCAACCACCAGGTATCAATTTATTCATCCGCATAACAAAAGCTCTTCCCAAACTTGGGACAGTTCAGGCTTCAGGATTTCCATACAGGCTCCACGGTTCTCGAAAGATTTTTGTATTTAGGCAGACGGGTCCACAGGCCTAGTGCTTGACGTCTTCTACCAAGATCTCACATGCACAAGAATGCCCTTAAGGTACGCATACCTTTCCTGGAGTCAAACGGCTTTTTCCTCTTAAATCTGGCATCCAGGTCATCCCCCTTCCTCCCCTTCTCTCCCTCAATAAAATCTAGACATCATGCCCTGTGAATAAAAGCTTACCGTCTTTCTTTTATAAAAAATATATATTTCTTTATTGGTTTCAGAGAGGAAGGGAGGAGAGAGCGATAGAAACATCAATGATGAGAGAGAAACACCGGTCAGCTGCCTCCTGCACACCTCCTACTGGGGATCGAGCCCGCAAACCCAGGCATATGCCCTTGGCCAGAATCGAACCGGGGACCCCTCAGTCCGCAGGCTGACTGACGCTCTATCCACTGCGCCAAGCCGGCTTGGGAAAGCTTACATTCTTTCTTTGCCAGGAGAAAAACAGGAAAACGGAACCTTACGTGACAAACTGAAAAGAGCGAATCAAAACGTAAAGGGGCCAAAACAGATTTGGCTCAGTGGTAGAGCGTAGGTCTGCGGACTGAGGGGTCCCAGGTTCGATTCCGGTCAAGGGCATGTATCTTGGTTGCGGGCACATCCCCGGTAGAGGGTGTGCAGAGGGCAGCTGGTCGATGTTTCTCTCTCATCCATGTTTCTAGCTCTCTATCCCTCTCCTTTCCACTCTGTAAAAAATAAAAACAAAACAAAAACGTAAAGGGGATGTGGGTGATGTGGGTGCGAAGGACGTAAAAACTAGTGATCCCCATAATAGCGGGGGGTGTTGTGTGAATCAGGAAGCTTTGTAAACCGTATTACTATTATGAGCACTGGGGATGAGAAGTGGGTGAGTGATTAGGCTTTGGCCTCCTCGTCTGGTCCTCAGCGGTCTCGGGCCGGAGCCATTCGCGATTCATAGCGTACTCCGCTGCCCTGGTCTCGTCACCTGAGACCAAGAGCTCAACTCACCTTTCCCGGGCAGCGAAGCCACTTTGCTCCCACAGGCACGAACGACTCCCAGGGCGCAGGCGCGGAAGTGAGCGCGCTCCCGCCCTCCAGGAAGCGCTGCGTCCTGCACATGCGCAGCAGCCCCGGCCTCTCTGCGCCGGCGCCGCGCTCGGCCTGTGGGAGCCGAGGGAGGCCGTCCCTGCGCGTCGCGTATTTGGGCCGGCGACGGCGGCGCTTAGTCTGACGCGACCGATTGCGTCACTTCCGCCCCCTCCCGGGAGGCGGCGCTGGGCCGGTGGCAATCCCCCGGAGGGAGCCGCAGGAGTAGGACGGAAGATGGCGACGAGTGGCGGCGAAGAGGCAGTGGCAGCAACGCCAGCGCCCGGGGACCCGGCGACGGGGATGGACACGACCCCGGGCTGGGAGGTGGCGGTGCGGCCCCTGCTGTCCGCGTCCTATTCCGCCTTCGAGATGAAGGAGTTGCCGCAGCTGGTGGCCTCAGTCATCGAGAGGTACCGGGCGGCGGCCCCGGTGGGGCGGCGGAGCGAGGGGGAGGGGAGGTCGTGCGGGACCTTCTGGACCCGCTTCCCCGGCCACCTGCTGCCTTTTGGGGACCTCCGCCCCAGCCTGGGCTTCGGGGCTCCGCGGCCGTGGTAGACGTGGGCTTGTCCGGGGTTTCCTTCCATCAGCCTGTGGAAATCACCCGTGCCTCAGTTTCCCTCCTGAGCAAAACTTTGGAGGTCGGCCTCTCAGGAGGGAGTGGTCGCACTGGTTTGTGTGTTGAGTGACTTTGCGATGCACCTGGCCGCGAGGGGAATGGCCCCCGGGCCGCCCCCTGCGTTAAGGTCAAAGCGCTGATGAGTTTGCATTTCTCGCCGGCACCCAGGCCCCTCGCCTAGGCCCCGGCCGAGCCCGGGGTTTCCATTGGGGGCCACCACGCAATTGGATAACGGTCTCTCCGAGGGGCCGTGGTCCCCGGGGCACGAGCTGTTTCTGCGACTGAAGCCACTGGTGACCGCGGTGACTCTCTTCCAGGGTTGCACTGACTATGTTTCTGCCATAACGGTCTTTGATCGGAAGCATTGCTGTGTGGTAGTCTGAGAGGATCATTTCCACAAAGTCTGTGTTCACTTTCTCTCTCAATAAAATAGCTTCAGACTCTCTCGCAGGTGGGACTGCTTATGTGGTTTGGCCTTTTTGTACAGAGATTCTGAGATTGGGAGGGCTGTGTTAATAGGAAGGCGGTGCTCGCCTTTTCCTGGCTTACTTGCTCAGAGCAATCTTTCGTCAGCTTAATGGTAGACGTGCTTTTAAAGCTAGTCTCATTTCCATTTTTCTAGCCAACCTTCCTGATTTCAGCAACTCCCTGCAGTTGCTAACTGGGTCATTTTAGCTTCATGCCAACAAGGGTCTATCTAATTGTTACCCAGAAGGTTAGAAGTTGCTATTTATTACTAAAGGAAAGGCCATGATTTGAAATATTTTATTACAGTGCTTATTGTTAGGGTTATGTTGCTTTGGATGCAGTTGTTGTTTTTTTTAATTATAATTAAATAACACAGTAGTTAGGTTTGGTAACAGTTTTGGTCACAGTTAACTTTACAGATGGGTCTTTCTGTATAATTACTAAGCCAAGAATGTTCTGAAGATGTAAACAGCTATCAGAAATACTGCTCTGAAATGATGTAGCCTCTTTTTAACTGTTTGAAACATTTGGATTAGTGGTATTTTTTCCTGAATTATACTTGTCAGTCACGTTACTTATAATGGACAGTGTTATACTTTTTAAAGACCAGTTGCTTTTATGTTTTTGTGGAAGTGAGCTGAGTAGGTGAGTAGGTTATAAGTCATTTGTTGACACCCACCCATACATCTGCTATTCTGGGCCCATGCCTTTTATTATTATTATTTTCCATTGATTTTTTTTTTTTTTTTTTTAGAGAGTGGAAGAGATGGGGGTGGGGGGGGGAGAGAGAGAGAAATAGATGTAAGAGAGAGACATTGATTGGTTGCCTCCCTGGATTCAGCCAGGGATTGAACGAACCTGCAACCTAGGTATGTGCCCTTGACCAGGAATCAAACCAGAGACCCATCAGTCCTTGGGCTGGTGCTCTAACTACTGAGCAACCGGTCAGGGATGGGCACATCCCTTTTAAAACCATAATAGTTAAGAAGCAACTTCCTCCAACCTGTAGAAGGAGCCAAAACCAAATGCATCAAAGTGGGTTTGAATTTTACCACATAAGAAATGGTGGCCCCTCCTACAGTCTATGTTAGCTAAGAGAACCAGAGCTGCCCGAGTTTGTGGACCTCGTAAGACCTCTCTTCATGGTTTAGAAAAGAGGTCCAAACAGATGGCTGTTAGTAACAAAATTTTATTGGAAGGCAAGAGCTTCAAAGTCTTTGCTGATTTTTGTGGCTCAGTTAACTTTGGAAGCCTATGTGCCCTCTTCAGACTTTATGAGAAGAATGTGATCTTAAGAAAAATTTCCAAAAGAAACAGCTGGCTTACAAGTTCTTGTAGTTAAAAACTAAAAACACTCAGTGACAAGTTTGGTGCACAGCAGAGGTTGGCACACTTTTTCTGTAAGGAGTCAGACATTTGCAGGCCACATAGTTTTCTTATAAACAGTCAACTTGGCCCCCTAATGGGCGGGCATGGCTGTGTTCCCAAATCTTACTTGTGGACACCACCGTGTGAATTTCATGTTATAAAATATTATTTTTTTGATTTTTTTTCAGCCATTAATAAATGTCAAAACCATGCTTTAAATTTTTTTTGATTGAGTTTATTGGGGTGACTGATTAATAAGGTTATATAGATTCTATAAAACATTACGCGTATACTGTAGTGTGTGTTCACACCAGAGTCAAGTCTCCTTCCATCACCATTTATCCCTCCTTTACCCTCTTCTATTTCCCCTCATCTCCCTTTCCCTCTGATAATCACCACACTGTCTGTGTCTGAGTTTGTTGTTGTTTTTTGCTTAACCCCTTCATCTTTTTCACCCAGCTCCCCACCCCACCTCCCCTCTGACAGCTGTTAGTCTGTTCTCTATATTTATTAATCTGTTTCTATTTTTTGTCAGTTTATTTTGCTCATTAGATTCCACAAAAACCATTCTTTTTATTTATTTACACACACACACACACACACACACACACACACAGGCCGGCCAACCACCCATGTACCCTCCCCCTGGCCAGGCTGGCCAGTCCCCTCTCATGCACGAATTTATGCACTGGGCCTCTCTCTCTCTCTCACACACACACACACACACACACACTCTGGGTGGCCAGATTATTATGATCTCGAACGCATAATAATCTGGCCACTCAGTGTGTGTGTGTGTGTATGTATATTATTGATTTCAGAGAGTAAGGGAGAGAGTAAGAGAAATAAAAATGTTAAAGAGAGAATCATTGATCAGCTGCCTCCTGCATGCCCCCTAGTGGGGATGGAGCCGGCATCTGAGGCATATGTCCTGGGACCCTTCAATCCACAGGCTGATGTTCTAGCCCCTGAAATAAACCGGCTGGGGACACAAAAGCCATGCTTAAATGTGGACTGTATAAAACAGGCTACTGGCTAGATTTGGCCTGCAGGCTATAGTTTGCCAACCCCTGATTTGGAACACAAAAATTAGTACTGTGCTGTTAGTATTGTGTTTCTCAAGTTTCACCTGCCTTTCAAAAAAAATGAAATGAGGGTGTCAGAATGATGGAAGTATTTCTTGAATATCAAGTTGTGGCCACTGAGTATAGGACCAGACCGGAGCCCGCACTGTGCAGGGGTTGTGGTGGGCTTGCTTTACTAAAGTCTGTGGTTGCCGCTTTCATCTGCAGCTCTTGTGGTTTTTTCCCTGGTCTGCCTGCCACACTTTTCTTCCTTGCCTCCAGGGATCTTTTTTTTTTTTTTGTTTCAGTCTGCTACTTTCTGTTTCCCTTTTTGATGTCCCGGTTCCATCATGCCAGCTCTTACTTTCTATCTGGCGCCTATTAACCCATTGAATTCCTCCTTTTTTTTTTTTTATTATTGGGGATGATGACTGCTCAGTACCCTCTATTCTATTTTCTGTCCCTGTTCTTTCATATTTCATACTTCCATAATTGGAATTGACCTTTGGGTTAGAAGAAAAGATAGTTAGAAAAAAAATTCCTAGGTCCAGACCCTGTTACATTTGGCTTGGTAACCAAACTAAGGAAACAAAGGAGGAGTGGATTAGCATGAAGATATTGGGAAGGTACTTTTGAAAGTGTCAATGGATTTTTATTTATTTATTTATTTATTTATTTTAAAAATATATATTTTATTGATTTTTTTACACAGAGAGAGAGGGATAGAGAGTTAGAAACATCAATGAGAAAGAAACATTGATCGGCTGCCTCTTGCACAACCCCTGCTGGGGATGTGCCCACAACCAAGGTACATGCCCTTGACCGGAATCAAACCTGGGACCCTTCAGTCCGCAGGCCAACGCTCTATCCACTGAGCCAAACCGGTTTCGGCAAAAGTGTCAATGGATTTTTAAAAGAAAAAGGTACTGAGTTTACTTAAAGGGGAGTTATTTCTAAAGTCTTTATTTTTGAAAGTATTACAGATGTCCCCCTTTCCCCACATTGACCCCTTCTAGCTTGCACCCGCTCCCCCAGAAAGGGCAGTTACTTATATTTCTACTGTCTCTAGCTAGCCTGTCTTTTAGTAGTAAAGACTGAAAGTCTTTTAAACACCATTACTTTTCCAGATCAGAAATAGAGCTAAGACTAGCTTAATGGAGCACGTGTTATACGTGGAATTAATATAATTGCTGAATGTAGCCTTATGTTTTAAAGTACTGTAAAAAAATTTCCTTTCTTAACTTTGCGCAAGATATGGTGATGAGCATGGCTGTCTTTGAACAATTTGATGGACTCTTTGTTTATTACAAAAAGAAATTGCCCCTTTCCTCTGAGCCAGTCCTTCCTAGGTTGTCCTGGCCTCCCTAGTGATAAGCCTATTTGAGTCTCTGCCTCCCAGTTATTTGTTAAATTTAAGCCAGAGAGGCCTACTTGGGAAGGCAGAAGCTGTTGCAACAGAGTCATTTCCTAAAAATCTTTTTTTAATATGTTTTTATTTATTTTGGAGAGGAAGGGAGAGGGAGAGAGAGAAACATCAGTGATGAGAGAGAAGCATTGATTGGCTACTTCCTGCATGCCCCCTACTGGGGATTGAGTTTATAACCCCTGGCATGTGCCTTTAACCAAGGACCCCTCCATTGAGCCAAGCCAGCCAGGGCCATTT